ACAGCCGCGTGTACCCACATGCGTGCGGTGCCGTTGAATAAGATGCCCAAACATGAGCAGCGCAAACTAAATAAATTGTGCAGCCTTGGGAGTCATAAATTCTCACGCGCAAACATTCAAACGCACCTCCTCATTCGGATGTGTTCTCCTCTCGACACGTTGACGCATCAGCGCGCGCCGTTCAGGATGAGGACGCACGTTAACCTCGGTGTTCACGTACGAAAGTAAATCCGCCCCTCACTGCTGGGACACGTTTCCCGTTGTACGTGACCCGCTCTCACCCTGACCCGCTGCAGGCTTGACTCATTAACACGCAGCCATGTAGACATATTTACTTGAATATCTTAAGCATTACTCTTTCCTATTCAACTTTCTGACCATAAAATAACCAACAACCATCCAAATCCGATTTAGGGAATGTTTTTGTTGGCAAATCAGAGATTATTATAATATTACAGGAGCCCAAATTTAAATGTTGAAGTACAAGAATCAGCAATATAAAAGCAAGTAAATAAGACCCCTCCCACACACACACACACACACACACACACACACACACACACACACACACACACACACCAATTAATGCACTGTAGAACCACGCTTGCAAAAATAGCCAACACCCTCTCTGAAGCCTTATGTCTATAAAAAATGCCACTGCCTTTACGACGAGCTTAAAAGTGTGTGTTTGTGCGTGGTGTTCACTTTGTGTGTATTCCACAGCCTGATCTCCAAAACATGTTCGTAAAAATGTGTACGAAAATCGTGAACATACAAATTCGTAGTGATACATACGAATTAAATACGGACTGCAACTCATGACGTCACCCTATTCAAAGTGAACGGGGACCTGCACCCCTTAAACACACTTCGTGAAGTCTAACCATGTAAAATAAACGTGTTATGATTGCATTTTTAACGAGAAATCAATGTTAACTTGTAAGAATAGAATACTAACCCTAACCCCCTCAAAAAATCCAACATGGCAGAGAGACGTTCACTCAAGGGCCGTGGTTAACCACCGCCAGTTCCTATGTAGTGTTACGAATTTGTATGTTCAAGATTTTCGTATACGTTTTAACGAACAGGTTTTGGAGATCACCTTGTTATTCTAACAAACCTTGGTTTGGTTGACACTGATTCCGCTCGTTGGGACGGGCTGCGCACTTGTCTAAGATACCCTTTTGTGAGAATAGCTGAAGACACGTAACATACAGAACCTCTCTCTCCTCCTCTTCCTCCTCCACCTCCTCCTCCTCCTCACACAAACTCATAATGTGACACTCACAGCAGCGGCTGCTGACTGTAGTGTAGCAACGGCACTCCCAGCACCATGCACTAGCGCTCCTTATTTAGGTCCTATTGAGCCCGTGAGCTGAAAATCTGTCCCCTTCACGCCCCCCCCACCCCTCTCCTCCCTCTCTCACAGACTTTCCCCGCCCTCCCCGGACGGACTGCCAGGCATCAAGTCCTTCTGTTCCATCACTCCATCACTGAGAGGAAGGCGTGTGAAGACGGATGCCTTCGCACACACTCCAGCAGCTTTTCCCTCTGCTGAAATGTACTCAGCGTTTCCCAATTGGCAGTTGCCAGGTGAAATGTGACACAAAATAAAAGAAAAAGATTGTGGTTTTTTTTTACAAGTAAGAAATGTGCGCTCTCAAGCAGAGTGAGAGTGAGTGAGCTGGTGGAGGCTCAGTGTCTCGCTTTAGTCATGAGAAGACTTTCTGACAGTACAGGCCCCGTTTGCAGCAGGCTTACTGGTGTCTAGGAGGAAGTTAATCTTACTCCAACCGGGTAATCCTTTTAATATATCAAAAACAATTGCTGACCATTGTGACATTCCAAAAGAAAACAAATGCATCAACAATTGGAAACTAAAATTACTTACTGACTGACTTGACAGAAAATGTTGATATATTTGATCTCACTCATTTAACAGCACTGGAAATATCTATAATCTGTACGGTTTCCACACAATATATAATTGTATTCAACAATCTTTTAAATGCAAATGTCTCACGCGTGTGTCTCTGTATGTGCATCAAAGTCCCTAACACAACGTCTTGATGAAGTGCTAAACAGGAACAAAACACTTAAAAACAGGAAATTCCTTCATTGCCGAGAGGTTGAGAACAACATTCACATGGATCTCATGTCCGGGAGTAACTTAAATACATTTCAGCTTATTGGCTCAATGACAGGGAACAGCTAGTTAAATAAAATAAGACAAACGCTAATATGCTGTTGTGACAAAGCAGTTACATTTTAGCATAACACCACATGGCCAAGAGATACTTTTTTTGCTGGATGTATTAACAACTTAACCCTGACATTTTGTTGCAATTCAATTTAATACTCAATTATAGCTTCCACAACAGTCAGGGAGCAAGAAGAACTCAACCGCATAACCACTACACTATTACTTACTATTAAACGCCTAATTCACAGCAATCAAATACAGACTAGCTTGAGCTGGCTATTCGGGACGTGGATAAAGACATATACATGCTCCGTTTCTCTATTTTGAAACAAAACCATCTCCCAGACGGCGTAGTCGATAAAAGCGAAGCTATTTGTACCCACTGCAAACTGGAATGATCTTATCGCCACGAGGCTGAAGTACCACTTGTCAACCTGCATCCTTCACAGTGGTTCTCCAAAGGAAAGTCCTTACAAACTTTTTTATTTATTAGTCAATAGATTTTAAAAAAATTAACTAATTAATCACCCATTTGGAAGTTCATTAATCTCAATTACAACAGTTGTTGTTGTTACAATGTTGTTTTTAACGAGTGGTTGTTTGTCTTCTAAAGACTAAATCTTAATTAAATTAAAATAATGAGTAATCACTTTAGAAAGTGTGCATTTTAGACACTGATTCATTATTAATCTTATTTAGAACTACACACATTTGATCTTCTTGGAGGCAGAATTCCACCAGGTGGAACATGTTGCGACTCTTCCTGGTGTCCTCGTGCACTTTGCTCTCAGTAGAGTTTGTCCTCTGCAGACCATGTGCAAAATATATTCTGCCGCCTGCCAAGGAGCAACCTCAGTTGTTGTGGCGTAACGCCGGTATCCTGTTTAAACCGGCATACTGCCCAGTCCTACACTTCAGGGACCGGAAGTAAACAAACATACATTAACTATGTTAAAATATTTTGTTGCATTAATCTCGGCTACATTAATCACATAGATTAACGTGTTTATGTTGACAGCCCTAATATATATATATATATATATATATATATATATATATATATATATATATATATAGATGAAATGAATACGACATGAAAGGCTGATCCAATTCAGCAAAAGCGGCATGCAGGACATGTAAACATACATGTAAGTCCTGACAGGCTGCTGTTGGCAGGTGAGAGCTCCCTCCTGAGACCATTCCCAGCATCAGCAAACTCCCTCACGCACAATGCAAAGAAAAAATACCTCCTTTGAAAAGAGAGGAACTCTGGTAAAATACTACACTAGCAGAATCTCAAGGAGATCTATGCTCCCTACAACCCTAAAACCCCTTTTTTCTTTTTCGTCACTCATTTTCAAAGCTCTTCGACAGAGAGGGTGGACTGCAGCGCCCCCCCCGTCCCCCCCCCCGTCCCGTCCCGCCGGAGCATCAATATACAACAGAGGCCAGCAGTCTAAACAGGAGAAAGGCTGAAGGAGAGCAGCGCAACACAAATCCATAATGGATTTTCCTTTCCCTTTCATTCGCTTTCTGCAGGGAGATGCAGTGGAAGCACCTCTGGCGCCGAGTGAGAATCGCAATAGAGGGGCTAGAGAAGAGGTGACAGAGGGAGAGGGAGAGAGAGGCCGTCAGAGACTCAAAACAGTCTCAATAACAAAAGACCTTATGAATATGTCTCTCGTCTGTCTCTGGAGGGGCTGCAATAACACGTCATTTACCCCATATATAGGACAAGCTCAGACCAGAAGTCGACAGGAATTAAAAGCAGCTTTGTTGTAGCTTCAACTAATCAGATGCAAAAATGGCTGCTAATTAAGTTAGCCTGTAAGTGAGGGACTTTAGAGACGTTAGGCTGCAAGGAACAGTATCCCAAGTTAAGTCAACGTGTCAGTGAATAGCAGCTCTGTGGATATCTCTTTATGTGCAGCTATTACAAATAAAAGTCTGTCTCTTTAGATGGCCATTCAGGCGGTGAACGGTATTCACTTGAAAATGGATGGATATGTTTGAACTCAGCGAGCGTATTTCAGTATGTAAGTACAGCTCAGTGCTGTCTGAGTCTGGTGAATTGAATGTCGAGGATAGAACTGTGGACTCAGAAATTGTTTTGTATGAGCCTTTACACATAAAAGCGCTTTAATTTCATTTTTGCTCGTATAACTCTGAAGCACACAATGTACCAATAGTGAGTGAACAACTTTCGGTGCTGTCACAGTGTCAGAAGCGTCTCCCTGGTTTTAGTCACCGAATGATCTTCTTCAACCGCCTCTAAATGCATGTATGATAACAGTTTGAATTACACCGCTGCGTCTATTCCAGCCGTCAGTCTGGTTTATCATCACATTCATGTCAGAATAACTCAGAGCACATTTTAGTTCAACACGAGTTGGGTCTTAATTGAATGGTTTTGGCAAACTGTTTTATTACAAGAGCTCCCTACAGTAATCAATATGAGTCGGGAGAACCGTGACCTCATTTCAACAGAACATGATGGGAGGGAGTTGGTCAGCAAGAAATTAAGTCAGATTAGCAATAACTGTATAGAGATAAAACCTGAAATTGAGTGAACCTAAAATGTCCCCATTAAGGCTAAACTGTGTGCTCGCTCAGCTTCTGTACGTATGGGACACAGTTAGAAAGTGTGATGGATGTTTGAAACCTGTCCAACCGTCACTCGCGTCAAGTGCTCACTTTTCTTGGCTTTTTACTGGAACCAGTGATTCCTGATATTTTTTCATCTTGGTGATTATTATCTAAAATAATGCTATAACACTCAATGCAAATAGGTCTTTACCTTGTCCGAAGGTTCCCCGGGCTGGGAGGTCCGTCGTATACAGACAAGATGTCAAAGTCCTCCTCCAGGGCGAACCCTTGAAACACCAACTGTATCCGGTTGTGCTCCGCCGCCACGATCACCCATGTGCAGTTGGCATAGTTGGGGTAACCGTAAGGGTAGCCGGGGCTTTCTATCGTCCCATTGGGACTGTGTAGTGTGTAGCTGCAGTTCTGAGCTGCGAAGAGAAGAAGAAACAGGCAGTTATTAAGAGGGTGTCAGGCGTGTTGGAAGTCCTGGCGGAGTGCAGAAAGTATTTATAGTGTGTCCCAAACCAAATAAAAGACACAGCTCTGCATCAAATAATAGAAATGATATAAATCCACACCCACATTTCATTGCACATTCACAGTCAAACAGCACCAATTGCTGTAGCATCCATTATCAACCACAGCGTACGGCCACAGCCATTATTCTAACAGCGCTAAATGGCTCACTTACACCCATCTTTCCCCACCTGTACCACCTCCATCGTCACCCACTCGTTCACTCATCAACCCTCTCAACGCGTTAATGATAGGTCCCAATATATGACATAGTCAGAGAGGGGGAGATGAGAGGACAGGAGAGGAAGCATGAGTACTACATTCATTTGACTCATTCTGTCTTTTCATCAACAGCCACTCAAACTTAAATTCTAATTGTGAATGCTGCCATGCATTAGAACTGAGCTTGGGGTGGATTGTGAGCCATGGTTTGTAATCAATCCCTGAAGCTGGTTGTCAGTGTTGATGTAAAAAAATGACACACTCAATTACAGGTTATATCCTCCAATAAAAAAAAGCTGTACGTTATAGGCAGTCAGCTGTCAGTGGCAGAGTGACAACAGAATAATATGTGAAAACAATGAACAATCATCAAACATATAAGTAGCCTTTTGCGTAACTTTTAAACTACAGCAGTAATGTAACATGTTCAGAATTAGTTTTCCCCTTGCAGAAAAAAACACAACGTGACCCTGCATGAATTAATATCTTTATAAGGGGACAGAATTACAATAACATGCAAGAATACATGCTATTTATACAAGTTATGTATATTCCCCTCTTTGTTTGCCTCGGCCACAAACCTGAACAATAATGAAGCCCGATTAAAATGTAATTAGAAGAGTATAATTGGAGGACATCTGTTATCTGCATAACCCACATTACCCAACAATGCAAACACTTGCAGTAGATATGATTTATGTTTTGTATGTGTGCATCCATGCTCTTAAAGAAGTAAGGCCTTGAATGAATAAATGTAACTAAATGAGCTACCTGAAGGCAATAAGGCAAAAATCATAAGAATCTTGACTAAACCCACTGCAGCTTCAAAACATGTAAATCCTTCCAGGGGGGGATGTGTATTCCGTATTCAATACTTGTGAAAAATATACAGATTATGTGCTACTTCTTATGCGCTCTCTAATGGGAAGAGAAATCCCTCAGCCCAAAAATCTGTTCAAATGTTCACTCTGAAACGTGTGAAAACCCAGCAGGGATTTGCAGGTAAGCCACCACATATTAAGAAAAAAACAAAAGAAAGTGGGCAATATTCCCTCCTCTCAGTCTTACTATCAACCACAATAAATAAAACATATTTTTTAACTGTGCAGCAGGAAAATGCCACATCACGGTGTTTATGAACTCTAAAATGCCCCTGAAAAAAAAAAACTAGCTGACACACACAAACCCACCCAAACAAACACAACTAATATTAGCGCTTTTTTCCTCAGGCTGCAAAGCCAGACAGGGTCACAAAATGGTTCCTTGGTTGGGGGAAAAGGGGGGCGACCGTGTCACGAGGTAAATATCCAGACTGTCTCTGTGGAATCAGTAGGAGCGGCGTGACAGCAGCATCCCCGGTCCTCATGCCCACCGATCCACACCCAAAAGAAGCAGGGCCCCACTTTCGCCTGTCACTTTTCAGCCCTTCACAGACACTTGATCTCGCCACGAAATGCTAATATTTGTGCATTTGAATCCCATTTCATTACCCTTTAACAAGCTCTATATTGTTGCAATATGAGTTGAGCTCATTGTTAGTTTTTGAGATCAGCAAGTGTTATGTGACCACTTGGAAAAAGAATGTGGAACACAAATAAAATAGTTTAAAATGAGGCGTGAACAGTAACAACCATGACCTATATGCGTGCCTTCTTTCAGTCCTCGTGTTCAACCAGCACCAGGAGAGAAGAACAAAAAAAAAGATCAAAGTGAAAGCTGTCAGCATCATATATTTCATCAACGCCTTTAAATAGTTCCAGCATCAGAGCATCCAGCCTCCCAATTACTTTCAGGTCAATACTAATATCTAGGTAAAACCTCCATATCCACCATTCCCACCTGATTACTATGTCTAAAGCCTAGTCAATAATCTCCTCATCATCTCCTTCATTATCAGGCCTCCATGAGACAAATGCCAATCAATGGCTCTTACAGCTGCTAATGTCAGAGCTTGATAGGGGTCATGGTGGAACTGCATGTACATATGTAATGAGTTAGAATGTGTGGGCTGGGATAGATTACCAAAACAACACCAAAAGTAAATTAATTGTTATTAACTTGCTAGGACAAAGGAACGATGGTGTTCCCCAATATATAGATATATAGATGCAATACATACTGACATATGATCAACCAGGCGAAAAAGCGGACATTGTATATGTAATAAGTATACTGAGTCTAACAGAGCTCGACCAAATGCAACTTTGAAGTGTGGCCATCCGTGGCAAGTGACCAAACTATTAAATCAATAATGACGCACACAAAGATTGAGATAATGCTTTTTAAGAGCCTGCTCTCCTGGCTGCCGCCAAAAAGATTTAATTCATGCTGCAAAATAGATGGTCAGAATTAAATTGGACACAAAGCAGACACGTCCAAGTTAATTTTTAGGGCATCAAGAACCGATTAACAACGTTGAGTTGGCTTGACATATTAATAACAGGGAAGTTTGGACAGATATTTTTCTCAGAACTGTGGTTGAGGTAAACCGAGGTACGTTGAGTCCGCACTCTGCGTACTTTGAAAACACTCTGCCTTCGGTCAAGTCGATCCTTCACTTTGGGCTTGTGTTGAATAATTAAAGCCTTGCCGGGGGTTCATTATGAAAATTGTTTGTTGGTAGCCGGTGACCCGTTTTGCAGCTCCTCACTATAAATCTGTAGCAAAGTGCCCGTCCTGGAGTTGACCTACTGACACCCCATAAAGACCCTATAAACAGACTGCTGGCCATGCTGTTTCAGCCCGGTAGACCCCCCCCGGTAAAGTATGATATATAAAATATGCTGGTTTACTGGTTCTGGTGGATAATCTGTTTTATCTCTCAGCAGCTCTTAGCTTGTACCGGACCGTTCACTATGCTCGATATCTGTGGATGTTCAACAGATATGTTGTCGGCTGCTTGGCTCTAACAAACTCCAGTGTGCACGCTGCCAAATGGGTGTACAGGGGAGAGGTATGACCTTGCCGGGGCAGCACTCCAGGTGTGTGTGTGGTCGTGGGGGGGCAGTTGTTTAGTAGCAGGCATACAGAGCTGCGGCAGTGCGCCGTGACACTTTGATGAATCGATGGTCACTGTGCTGTACTCCGGCAGGACAGCAAACCCTCAGAGCGGGAGGAAGGAGCAAGGAGAGACCAAAGCAGGGCGATAGAATGAGGGCAACGGGGGCAGTCAGACACGAAGTAGACTGACTAGGTGACTGAATGTGTGGACGTATGAGAAAATAGATATGGAGGACTTGACCTGCGAAATAATAGCGGCAGCGGCGAGGTGAGGGACAAACCCACCGGGGTAAGAAATACCAGCAGAAAGGCAAAAAAAGAGGAAGGAATGAAAATACTTCATAAAAGACTATGTCAGAATGGCGCCAAGAGGAGGAGCTACAGCCAATGGGAGAGATACGGTATGGGGGAGCGGCGTTTTTAAGCTATTTACTGCATCTTGTTGCCCTTCTTTGCTGAGGGTCACAGACAGCCAGAGTAACTTTCACAGCAAGATAGCGCTTATCTGCCATGTTAGCGAGTTTAGAGGTCCATGCTTAATCAGTGGGTTTGTATTTTGTTTGTAGAGTGAGACGCACGTCTGCGCGTGGATGTGATCAGTTGACTGCACATGTGTGTCATCCCTATACCCCGTGTGGCCATATCACATATCTGTATGCAACTCCTCGGCTGAGAGACGTTAAAGCTACAGCACCCCTCAAGGGGAGGACATTTCTTGATGGCAAACATAATCCCATAATCACATTCACATAATACCATTAAGACACAAACAGTAATTTAAAGCTGCAAATCTGCTTCATGGACAACGATCTTTTCTATATTTTATTTATCAAATTCAACCCAAGTGTGTCTATGACATTTGTAGTAAATATTAAGATCCGGCTTGGAAACCGTGAGGAAATATTATATATAAGTACAAATCCATGCTACAGGAAATTACTATGCTAGCACATCTAAGGAAACCTTGGTGTCAAGAACACTGCACTCATCCATTAAATTGGACCATGAACTATCTTTGCAGAGTCTCTCCCATTATACAGCTAAGATAAACAGTTCAGCTTTCTCCCCTATTCTCCAGAGAAACCATGGAACGTCCATACGTGTGTTCCACCGGGGCCTAAACATAATGAACATCCCATTGGAGCCAACAGCAAATCATCTCAAACCAAATGAGCGCGCGTCACTTGGGGTTTATCGAGTAACAAAGCTATCACTTATAAAATACCCCATCAGTAAACTACTGACAACAAGCTGTTTTTGTTTTGGGGTTGACTGTGTGCGCGTCTGTGTTTTTGTACCACTAACTGCCACTCTGGTGGCAAGATAAACCCTTCCGCCCCACAGAGCCTCTCAGCACCACTATTTGTCTGTTGACGTGTCAGCGCATATGCACGCCTTGACCGCATCATATCCGAATTAACCTCTAGATGGCCGCCATTAAAATGAAAATGGGTGCGCTCAGCGATCCCGCTCGCCTCTATGCATTAGGCTAATGCCCGGGCCAGGACGACGCTGTCTGCCATTACAGACAAGCCAAATGCAGTGGAAGGCAGTTGCGATAGGCCTGCTCCCACTTAGCCCAGTGGGCCGAACGGTAAAAGCCTTTTCCTGCAAAAGGCCACAAAAATGGAGCTGGCATTTTCGTAATGATGCACAATCGAAGCTTGGAATTGCCTCCTGCTGCATTAAT